CCTGGCAGCTGCTGGCGGAGCTGCCCGCCCTGGCCACCGACCCCCCGGCCTTCCAGGCGGCCGTGAGCTTCTTGGCACTCTTCTTCTCGGCCCCAGAGCTCCACCCCGAGGGGGAGTCTGTCTTCACTGCCGTGTTTCAGTCTCTGAGAAGGGTTCTCGCAGGTAAGAGGTCTCCCCTCGGGCTGACTCTGCGGCCAGAGGTCAGCGGTCAGGCAGGCAGAGCAGGAGTTAGCCGCGGCCTGGGGAGGCCCGGGGGCCAGTGGGATGGCCGGCGAGCCTGGCGTGTGGTCGACACTCCGCAGGGCATTTCCCTGGGGAGGGGATTGAGGGTCAGAGAGGCCCAGAGTCTGGGATCTCACAGCTTGTGGGAAGCTGGGACCAGACCTCCCAGCCTTCGGTCCCTCCGCCCTCAGTGCCGGACGCAGCAAGTAAAGACCCGGGTGCGGGAAGGTGCCCTGGTTACACGCAGCGGCCCCACGGCTGAAACGGGGCCGCACAGACAAGCTGGGGTCAGACGGTGAGGGGCCCTGGATGTCCTCACTTGGGGCGCTGTTAGGAACCCGTGGGCCAGGGGACATTGAGTGAGAGACTCCCCCAGGCAGTCCCCGGAGGTGGGGGGGTTCTTTTATCCCTTCCACGTGGCCGTCTGCTTAAAAGTACCCGTCCAGCCCCCGTGACCCTGCTGGTCTTATAAAAGAATTCAAGGGAAATAGGGGAAAACGGCCCTGGCCGGTGTTGCTCAGTGGGTAGAGAGTCGGCCTGCAGACTGAAGGGTCCCGGGTTCGATCCCGGTCCAGGGCACGAACCTCGGTTGCAGGCTCCATCCCCAGCCCCAGTCGGGGCGCCTGGGGGAGACAACCAATCGATGAGTCTCTCACATCGATGTTTCCCTCTCTGTCTGTCTCTCCCCCTGCCTTCCACTGTCTGTAAACATCGATGGAAAAATATCCTCAGGTGAGGATTAACAAAACAAAACAAAAAGACGGTAGGAAAAATGATAAAGAAAGTAACAGTCGGCTGTCCGCGTGGTCCAGGGGTTAGCCCTGCTGAGCACCGCGTGTGAGAGGCGTCTGGCTGGGAATGTCTGGCCCCCGAGCGTGGCCTTCCCTGGCGGCACACTGTGTCAGCACACGGCCGCTCTGATGTGTCCCCCCTCCCTCTGTCCATCTCGTCTTCCACGCAGACCCCGCCGTTCCGCCTCCAGCACTTCAGGCCATCGAGCCTCACCTGGGAGCCCTGCTCGCCCACCTGCTGGCGGCCGGGACCACCCAGGACTTCCGGGCGATGCTGCAGTGCGTGCTCCGGGGGCTGGACCTCAGGAACGCGTGGAGCGCAGACCAGCCGGTGGGTGGCCCCTCCCCCTCGCCCGGCAGGCGTGTGAATGAGGGAGGGGAGCTCAGACGGGGAAGCTGAAGGTGCCGGGTCCCCCCTAAAACCAAACACAAACCAGTGGGGGGGGGACTCTAGGCCAGTGGTTCTCAACCTGTGGGTCGCGACCCCTTTGGCAGTCGAATGACCCTTTCACAGGGGTCACCTCAGACCATCCTGCATATCAGATATTTACATGACGATTCATAACTGTAGCAACATGACAGTGATGAAGTAGCAACGAAAATAATTGTATGGTTGTGTCACAACATGAGGAACCGTATTGAAAGGGCCAGAAGGTTGAGAACCACTGCTCTAGGCGGAGAGGGGGTTCATGGAGGCAGCTCTGCTCCGGAGGCCCTGGAGCGGGATTCCAGGCCGGGGTTTCTGGTTCTAAGCCTGACTCCGGATGATGACCAGCACAGGGATGGGGCTTTGACTTGGGTGGGAGGGGAGGAGGGGCGTCATTGAGGGTAGCGTGGGGCAGAGAGAGGACGCGCATCTCCTGAGCCTGAGCCCGAGGCCCGGGCTGGACCAGGGCCGCTTCTCTGTCGCCCGGCACTGCCCCACCTCCGGACGTTTTCGCTGTGTGTGTCTGCAGCATGTTCGGGTCCTAGTTTTTTGGTTTTTGTTTTTTTTTTTTACATATATGTATATTGATTGATTTCAAAGAGGACGGGAGAGAGAGAGAAACACCAATGAGGAGAGAGAACCGTGGATCGGCCGCCTCCTGCACGCCCCCTACTAGGGATGGAGCCCCCAACCCGGGCCTGTGCCCTGACCGGGAATTGAACCCTGACCTCCTGGTTCATAGGTCAATGCTCAACCACCGAGCCACGCCGGCCGGGCAGGCCCTGGCTTTGAGAGGGCCTCTGCGTGTAGATGGCTGTGCCCGTGTGTGGCCGTGCAGGTCCCCATCCTGACACTTACACGTGTCGGTTTCGGGAGACGCTGTTGACACGACCTCCGCTGTGCCCCAGTTCCGTTCGTTGTATTCATTCAATCCTCCTTTGGTGACGGGAAGCGCATCGCCCCCGGGACTTCTCCCGGCCAGGTCCCGCCCAGGCCCGGCCCATGGATTGGGCGCCGGGGGCCGCTTGGTCCCAGGGTGGGCCTCTCGGAGTGGGCGGTCTCTGCTACCTTCCTCCTCTTCCTCCGCAGGCCATTTTGTCGGCTGTTACGTTGATCAAGTTGCTGCTGAGCTGCCCGGTCAGCGAGGAGCAGGCGAGTCTGTTCTGGCGGACGAGCCCCCAGATCCTCACGGCTCTGACGGTGAGTGTGGGCCACCCCCCCCCGTCACCCCTCTTCCCCCCCAGACCAAGGGCGGAGCGTCCCCGTCACTTCCACCTGCCCACTGACCCCATCGACGCCGTTGGGAGTTGGGACACCCTGACTTACGCCACCTCCGTTCTTACCTCTGCCTGCTTCAGGCTTTGTTGTTGCTCCTTCTAGAATCACCTTCCTTTTCTTCCCTCTATTCCAGTGGTTCTCAACCTTCCTAAGGCCGAGACCCTTTCGTACAGTTCCTCATGTTGTGGGGACCCCCAACCATAAAATTATTTTCGTGGCTACTTCATCACTGTCATGTTGCTACTGTTATGAATCGTCATGTAAATATCTGATATGCAGGATGGATTTTCATTGTTACAAATTGAACATAATGAAAGCATAGTGATTAATCCCAAAAACAATATGTAATTATAGATGTGTTTTCCGATGGTCTTCGGCGACCCCTGTGAAGGGGTCGTTCCACCCCCAAAGGGGTCGCGACCCACAGGTTGAGAACCGCCGCTCTATTCCTTCTCCCGTAGCTGCAAAACCGAGAGGCGTGTCAGGAGCAGCCCGCGGCCTTGGCGGTGGTCGAGCCCATCCTGGACGTCCTGGCCGCCCTGCTGCGCCGGGGGGAGGAGGCCATCCGCAACCCGCACCACGTCAGCCTGGCCTTCAGCATCCTGCTGGCCGTGCCCCTGGACCACCTGAAGCCGCCGGAGTTCGGGCGCGTCTTCCCGCGGGTGCACAGCGTGCTCTTCACCATCCTCCAGTGTCACCCCAAGGTGAGGGGCCGGGGCCAGCAGCCTTGCCTTTTTTTTTTTTTTTAATGTGTTTTTATTGATTTCAGCGAGGAAGGGAGAGAGAGAGACAGAAGCATCAGTGATGAGAGAGAATCATGGATCGGCTGCCTCCCACACGCCCCACGCTGGGGATGGAGCCCGCAACCCGGGCCTGTGCCCCGACCGGGAATCGAACCGTGACCTCCCGGTTCACAGGTCGACAATGAGCCCCTTTTATGAGAGAGAAGTGGAAATCAGCGATGATGTTCCTGTCTTTCTTTGGCCCGTGTTTATTCCAGGTGATGCTGAAAGCCGTCCCCTCCTTCCTGAACTGCTTCCACCGGTTGGTGTTTTCGGTGATGCATGAAGGACGGCAAAAGGATAAAGGTACTTCAGCTACCCATGGCTTCCTCTCTCTCTAAAAATCAACAGGCTGTTCTTTAAAAAAGAAAAAGAAAGCAAGCTGGGAAGACAGCTAGTCATGGGGTCGCATGTATCTGTCTGTAAGAGAAAAACCCTGCACAATTTCTGAAACTTTGTAAGGAGGCAATGACACGACTGAGCCCCTCTTATCTTTAACGTCACATGTCAAGCAGCACTTTAAGAAAATTTCCCGTTTTCCCCGTTTTAAGCCTTCCTGGTAGAGAACCGTCTCCTTTTAAAATACAACAGCCATCCCCGACTTCAGCCTGAAAGTCCTGATTATTCAGGCAGCCTCAGGAAACAGCCGTGGGCTCCTGAGTATTCTAACGGTCCTTCCCTTCGTTACGTAGCGAAATGTTTGGACATAACATGTGTGTGTAGTTCCCCCCCCCCCCCCCCGCCATTCCCCCTCCCGTCCTGTCTACAGAATGAGCTGATTAAAGAGTGGGAGGGGGTGCGCTGTGAGGAACGCGGGGCGGCAGGGACCCTGTGAGATGAGGAGGGGGGAGCGCACACTCGGGGGGCTGACCGGTTCGGACACGCTTTGCCGTGCAGGCGGCGCGGAGGACCTGGCGGGGGTGCTGGCGTGCGCCCGCCTGGTGGAGAGGATGTACAGCCACATCGCCGCCCGGGCCGAAGACTTCACCGTGTTCTCCCCCTTCATGGTGGCCCAGTACGTGACGGAGGTGCAGAAGGTAAGCCGGCTCCCCGCCTTTTATTGATTTCAGAGAGGGGGAGAGAGAGAGAGAGAGAAACTTCAATGATGAGAGAGAATCATGGATCGGCTGCCTCCTGCACACCCCCTAGTGGGGATCGAGCCCACAACCCGGGGGCATGTGCCCTTGACTGGAATTGAACCCGAGACCCTGCAGTCCCCAGGCCGATGCTCTAGCCACTGAGCCGCACCAGCTAGGGCCAGAGTCCAAATGTCACTGCCCCTGTAAACACATAGGCCTCGTGTGTTTATTTACTTGAAGCTACCCCCTGGGATGCTTCATTTCAGGCTTTTGTGCACTTGAGTTGGCTTCTGTTTCCCCAAACGATAAACTTTCGAGATGGGCATGTGCAGCTCTGTCAGCTGTGTGCAAAACGGTGTTTTAAAAGGAGCGTCTTTCTCAAGTTAGAGGCAGACGTGGGAATTCCTCGCCGGGCCTGCCTTTGCGGCCCGGCCCCGCCCGCGCGCTCACGGGGTGTGTCCTTTCCCAGGTCACCTTGTACCCGGCCGTGAAAGGCCACCTGCAGGAGGGCATCTACCTCATCCTGGACCTCTGCATCGAGCCCGACGTGCAGTTCCTGCGCGCCTCGCTGCCGCCGGGAGTGCGGGACGTCTTCAAGGAGCTGCACAACGACTACGTCAAGTACCACCGGGCGAAGCACGAGGGCGAGAGGCGGTACGCCGTCTAAGGACACGCGGGGAGAGGCGGTAGCAGGAAGACCTGGCGAATGAAAGGCTTCAGATGTTCAGTGGGAAATACGTGGATTATTTAATATGTGTGTTGTATTTGACAGCCATGTTTTTCACACATACCTTTTCATGCAGTAAGTACTGCAATAGCGTCCCGAAAACACACCTTAGAAGGAGGTGGACTCAGTGAACAATTGCCCAGCCCCTCATCGTCATTCCAGGTGTGGTTCTTGCCTCGGTCCCTTCTCCCCACCAAGAACTGTGTAGAACTTGTAATTAAAGTCCTATTAAAATATCTCTGCCTCTGCCCTAGCCGGTTTGGCTCAGTGGATAGAGCGTCGGCCTGTGGACTGAAGGGTCCCGGGTTCGATTCCGGTCAAGGTCATGTATCTTGGTTGCGGGCACATCCCCAGTAGGGTGTGTGCAGGAAACAGCTGATCGATGTTTCTCTCTCATTGATGTTTCTAACTCTCTATCCCTCTCCCTTCCTCTGTGTAAAAAATGAATAAAATATATATTTTTTTAAAATATCTCTGCCTCACCGGCCAGTGTTGCTCAATGGACGAGCGTCAACCTATAAACCAGGATTTCAGGGCTCGATTCCGGGTCAGGAAAATGGGCTTGCGGGCTCGATCCCCAGTGTGGGGCGTGCAGGAGGCAGCCGATCCATGTTTCTCTCTCATCGTGGATGTTTCTCTCTCCCTCTCCCTTCCTCTCTGAAATCAATAAAAATGTATTGGTGCTTTGGTTTTTTTCTTCATTTTATTCTTAATCTATTTGTTTTTTAATTTAAATTCTCTGTTGTTCAAAGTATTACATAAAGTCTCCTTTTCCCCCCCATTGACCACTCCCCGGCCGCTCCCACCCCCCAGCACGTGCCCTCACCCCCAGTTGTCTATGTCCGTTGGTTATGCTGTGGGGATGGTGCATTGGAGCAGCAGGCGACCTTTTCAAGGACACAGGTGTCCACAGAGCTGGAATCCAGGTCGTCTCTTGGGTTTTGCCCTCGGGTCCTGTGCTCAGATGCCCTCCTGAGATCCTGCTGGTGTTTTCTCTGCTCGGAGTTCAGGAAGGCGGGAGTCTGGCCGGGGACCCCTCTCCCCAGCGTTTGGAATGTCCCTGGGGCACAGACAAGCACGGAGCAGTCCCCCAGGTGCCCTGATGGTGGCACTGCAGGGCCGCACTCAGGGCCTAGGGCTGCTTTGAACAGGGAGCTCAGATCAGATGCCTTTACCTGCGCGCCCCGGGAGGAAGGGAGAGAGGAACGAGGGTGCGCACCCCATGTCCTCCCCGCCGGCACCCGAGCAGGGCCGGCCCGGCTTCCTCACTGCCGTCGCTGCTGGGAACTCCAAACCTTCTTCCTCAGAATAGTTTTCAACTCTTATTTTTTAAAAATATTTTTAAAATTGATTTCAGAGATGGAGAGAGAGAGATGGAAACATCCATGATGAGAGAGAAACATGGATCGGCTGCCTCCTGCGCGCCCCACATTGGGGATCGAGCCAGCAACCGGGGACCCTTCCGTCCGCAGGCCGACGCCCTATCCACTGAGCCATACCAGCTAGGGCTCAACTCTATTTTGTTCATTCACGGGGGAGAGGAGACATTTACCTTAGCGGTTGTGGTGCTGCGTTCATTCTTAATTTTGTTAGAGCAGACCTCCCGGGCATTGGCCTGGACAGGATGGGGGACAGAAGGAGTGACAGGGACAGCCTGGGCCTGAGCGAGACCCACCCCCCTGCCTGGCACCAGACCCCATGCCCTGGACGACCCGTGTCCATTCGTCCATTCGTGTGACACTAGAGCCACCACTCTCCACACTGAGCCAGGCTCCCGGCTGCACTGCGGGGCCTCCCGGCGCCCCCTGCTGGCTGGGGGCATTGACCATGAGCCCTCAATCCCTTGAGCATGGCCACCCCAGCGGTGGGTCAGGTGCAGGGGCTGGAGGGGGGAGGCCTTCCTGGGACCTGCCTGAATCAGGAGGGCTGACCCTCGGCGATACCAGTTGCGTTGGGGACGGGGGAGAAAGGAGCTGATGAGGCAGGAGGAGAACTGGAGATCCCCGGGGACCCTGGGGGTAGAAGAGGCGGAAAAGCCCGCGGTGAGCCCACAAGCCGAAGGCGCCGGAGGTGAGAGCCAGGGACCGACCAGCCGTGGCCTGGCCGGTTCACATCCCATCACCTTCCGGAGGCAGTTTCTGTGGGGAGGGGACCACTCCTCCCATTTCCGGGCCAGTCAAGATAAAAGCTGGTGGCAATCGGACAGGGTAGCGGGGCGCTGAGACTCAGATATCTTCGTTCTCTCGCCGGGCCGGTGAGGTTCCGCGGTTGAGCGACGACCTCTGGACCAGGAGGAGGCCCCAGCCAGAGGCGCGAAGAGAAAAGGCGCGATAAGGAAGCGGCGCATCCCTTTTGGCCACAGCGCGCGAGCCAGGAGCCTGGTTTGCAAAGAGCTGTTGATACCATGAAGAGCTCTAGCATCCATCAGCGGGATGGAGGGGAGCGGGCCGTCGGCCGAGCTGGGTAGGGGCCTCTCCATTTCCCTAGGATGCTTCGGGCCTTCTCATTTCACAACCACTTGGATTGGCCTGCCAAGTGCGCACCATCCTCATCTCCATCGGCTGCGAGGAGTGTCAGCGCCTGCGGGTCCCTCGCCGGCACCTCTCCAGACAGCTGCTCCTCGCGCTCCCGGCTGGGATACGCTTCCCAGCAAAGGGCGCGTCTCCGCAGGAGCAGATGTTAGCATCCCCGGGCACAGGCGCCCTCTCCAATCGGCATGTGCGCTGTCAGTCGGGGAACCACACAGCATGACAAGCGAGAGACGTAATCATGGGAGTGAGGGATGGGGGAGAGGCGGGCACGTTAATGAACGCCTCCAGGAGGGAAACTGGGGTCTCTCGGCTCGCAGGAGCTTCTCTGAACGCATAGGGCTCGCTGTTTTCCACGCCAGCCCACCGTCGCTCGCATCTGAGAAGACGGCCGTGAACGCGCCTCAGTGAGCCAACCTGGCCGAATCCCAGGGCCAGGTGCACGCAGGACAGCACCTGGTTCGTCCAGTTCCTCTGGAATGGATTCGAGTGTGCACGCACACACACGCACACACACACGCACACATGCACACGCACACACATGCACACACGCACGCGCGCGCATGCACGCACACACACACACCCCAACTGGACCTAGAAAGTGACCAGTCATCCTTCCGTGGAAAGGTGTGGGAGGAAGTGTTCCTGTTGTCACTCGAAAGCAGGGTGGGGGACATCAGGCCTGCGGATCAGGTTGTGTAAGGCCCTGCCAAGGTCTTAGGGGTGAGTTAATGAAATGCCTGCCCAGAGGTAGCAGGCTAATTTTTTTTAAAAAAAAATGTATTTTTATTGATTTCAGAGAGGCAAGGAGAAGGGGAGAGGGAGAGAAACATCAATGATGAGAGAGAATCATGAATCGGCTGCCTCCTGCACGGCCCCTACTGGGGATCAAGCTTACAACCTGGGCCTGTGTCCTGACTGGGAATCGAACCGTGACCTCCTGGTTGGTAGGTGGACACTCAACCACTGAGCCACACCGGCCGGGCCACACACACATTTTATAGAAAGGTATCATTGTGGTCAGCAAACACACAGGAAGAGAACCAATAATAATTATGAAAAAAAAACAGGCCCGAGCAGACAGCCGGCAACCTCGGCCACTGGGCGTCTCACTCACCCATGTCCTCTACTCACCTATGGCGCTGGCTTAAGCAAGTCCATTAACTCCTGTGTGTTCCTCTCACTGCCTGAGCTTCTAAGGGGAAAAGAACATCACTGACCCAGCTCGGAAGGCGCCGGGAGCTCGACCCACATGGTCACAAGCCTCTCCCTGGTCCTTAGTGCTGTGTGAGGGCCAGGTGCTAGAGGGGTGGTATCTCCATGAGAAGCCGGAGGACTGTGCATGAGCAGAGGAGTCTGCATGAGCGGAGGAGTATCATGAGCGGAGGAGTATGCATGAGGGGAGGACTATGCATGAGCAGAGGAGTATCATGAGCAGAGGACTATGCATGAGCGGAGGACTATGCATGAGCAGAGGACTATGCATGAGCGGAGGAGTATGCATGAGCGGAGGAGTATGCATGAGTGAGGACTATGCATGAGCGGAGGAGTATGCATGAGCGGAGGAGTATGCATGAGCAGAGGAGTATCATGAGCGGAGGGCTATGCATGAGTGAGGACTATGCATGAGCGGAAGAGTATGCATGAGCGGAGGGCTATGCATGAGTGAGGACTATGCATGAGCGGAGGACTATGCATGAGCGGAGGGCTATGCATGAGCGATCTCCGCACCCTGCCTCCCCCAGGCCTCCCTGGAGTCTGCCCAGTTGGGGGTGAGGCTTCTGGAAGGTGTAAAATGCAAATGTCCTGGGCCTCTAAATGTTCTCCACAAAGGGCAGTGGTTTGGGGGGGACCTGAAGGCACCCAGCAGGGGGTGTTTGCTGGTGAAATGTCACAGAACAGAGATGGCATTTGGGTGTGAAACCAAATGGAACTTCCAAAGCCGTGGGGGTGGCGGTGAGGGCGGGAGAAGGGACTAACATTTAGCCAGTGCCGCGTGCTGGGAGCACTTCCCTCCCAGTGTGAGTGAGGCAGGCATGGTGGACTGGGAAGGCCAGCGGACGTGCGTGGGAGTCTCACAGAGGGACCTACTCAGACCTGACACATTTCACTTGACCTTCAACCAAGAAGCTGATTTAAGGCCGAGACCGCTTCTTTGAAGACGGTGCCCGACCGACACCCCAAATCATGATTCTTGGAGAAGCCACACCTGTGGCGATGGCCTTACCCCAGGTTCCCAGCTTGGAATCCTTTAAAGTCTCCAGGAGTCTTAAAGGGACATGGAGGCCACAGAGCGAAGAGTTTCTAGGTTTTTAACTGTTTCCCTCGCTCTACAAGTGCCTCACGTGCATGTAATCTGACAGTCATTTTTATTTATTTATGTAATATTTGTATTGATTTCGGAGAGGAAGAGGAAGAGAGAAACATCCACGAAGAGAGAGAATCATTGATCGGCTGCCTCCTATATGCCTCCCACTGGGGATCGAGCCTGCAACCCCAGCATGTGCCCTTGGCCGGAATGGAGCCGTGACCTCCTGGTTCATAGGTGGACGCTCAACCCCTGAGCCACGCCGGCCGGGCCCTCATCGTTTGCATTTTTAACAGGTGCCCTGGGGTGATTCGGATGCAGGTGTCTCGGGACCATTCTCGGAGGAACACCCACGGAGGATCCCAGTGGGGATATCCTCGTGCCGTGGACTGGCTAACAGACTAAGAAGAG